ACAATAACACCACAAAGGAATGATGGAAGTGATTTGTATAACATCAGAACCTATGTCCTAAAAGTACTCAGCATGCGTCAACAAGTCATCGCATAACAACAACATCAACAAGCACATAGGGTTGGCGATCACATATTCGATTTCATTACCCTCGAATCCCTCACAATGCGTCCGCAATCTTGTTAGACTATCAAATAACTTCTGGAGTCAAATTACATCAAAGGGCGGCTGCAACTGCTAGTATTTAGGGAAGTCAGACATTTATGCGTAGTCATTAGCGTCAATTTTAAAAAGAACAGCAAAATCGATCAAATCAGAGGTATTTATGGGACCTGTGAGCCAGTAAGTTGGTCAACTAGTAGAAAGAACATTTAAATTTTTTTCCATAATGCATTTGTATAATTCTCGACTTTTGGGATTAGTAAGACGAGGTCCCCACCGTGGCATTGAAATCACCATCAGTTAGAGATCTACTGCCCAGGGGTCGAATCGTTACATCCGTGTACGTATCACTCGTCGCGTAAATAGTAGTATTTCGAATTATAACACACGTAATCTGGCATGATGACATTCGCAAACGAGCATTTAAACCTATCCGTTCCTTCGAAATGTCTTTTGAAAGAAAAATACCAAACGTGATAGCATAGACCACAGCATTAATCTGGACTAATTCAGGAATTATGAATGAAGGTAACACCGTAGTTAACTAACCCTCAATGCTCAAAATTTTAGAGAGTTGGCTGCATTTTCGTTGTTAACATTGTTAAAAATTGCCAATTTTGATCTATTGCGAATGAAAAACAAGCTACACTGACAGCAGTTCAAATTTTCAATAATAAAACAAGAAGTTTTGTAGTTGATGCAATTTTGTGTTGATATGTTTATGTAATAGAAAATGGATTTGTAGAAATTGGTCGACTAATAACCACAACGTTTATCGTATATCCATTTTAATTGAAAATATTATAAAAATGACAATCAGCAGTTTACGAGAGTTTCAATCTAGCAAAGCTGCCGTCTGTCACCTACAAATTTCGATCTGATTAAGTGGGCAGGTATCTATTCCTAGTGTGTGATCAGAATCGAAATTTTGAGGGTCACAATTTATTTTAAAATTTATGCAGACGTTATGTTATGCCGCACAGACGATAGCAAATCTTGTCACTTTTGTGGGATGATGCCTTCCTCTTTTGCCATATCCTAAAATTGTTCAATATATCTACAAAAAAAAATTTCTTAGTGGGGTTTTATAATTTGTTTAATTTTTTACCTTTGCTATTGGTACGATCTCTTAGCTATCTCCGCACTATTTTTTCATCCCCATCACTTTCACTAGAGCTAAAATAAAAAAAGTCGGATCCATTTGATATTTAATTGGTTTATTGAAAGTTTACAACAGTTTTAACAGTTCCACATATATTGTGACCTAAAAATACAATTCAAAGGAAAGTGGATTTTAAAAACTATTGTGAACTTAAAACAATAACGATCTGTTTGCTATCGTATGTCATAATGTCAATTACCGTATACCATGAATGTATCACGGAATTTTCTCTCGTATGTTTGCCGATCCGTGCGCGGATGTAACTCTTCGACCCCAGTTTGTTGACAAATGTAGTAGATGACTTTTTACTTATGTTCAAACGCGGAGGTAGATACCGTGCGGTTATGGCAATCCCTCCATTAACGCTTGCGATTTCAACAGAGGCAGCTTGAACTGAAGGAAACGATATTGTTTCTAATATCTCATATTTTAAAGTTGACTTATGTTGATGTTGTTAGTTATAACTTCTAATCTATGGTTACTTAGTCCATTGGCATTCCAAATTGCCATCTTAAGGCACAATCTTGAAACAAGAGAAGACACCATTATTATTAACATTGAGTTTAGTTCAATTTGTTTGGAAATCAGTGCTTCCAGCTTCTCGAAATTACTGTGGCTAAGTGCAGCAGAGTTTTGTGGTTTTTTTGTAATTTCTGCGTGACTGAAGTTGTTGTTGTAAACTGGCTGCTTGAGCGAACACAAGTTTAGCGCTAGGGTTGTTTACACTCGACTTGTTTGGATCTTTATTACAAACTAGTGCTTGATAAACCTGACAGTCTTTGTAGGTGGTAGTGCGATTTTGCAAGCAGTGTACACATTTTGGTGGAGTACCGGAGTATTTTTTCGTAGAAAGCAGGCTGGTGATCCAGACTGCACTTAACACATCTGCACGGCTTTTTACAGTATAGTTTAGTGTGTCCAAACTCCTGACAGCGATGGCACTGAACTAAATCATTAAATTTGCAAGGAGATTTGATTTTGACTACCACGCTACATAATCGATTAATATCAAATATTTGCTATTTGCCGATGGCTCTGATTCAACAAAAAATTGTGACACTATCATCTTTGTTTAGTTTGCAATAACAATATTTCTCATAGTATGACCTTTCTGAAATAAGTCAAGTATATGACTGCAAACCAGATTCCTTACACTCCCCTCTTTGAGAGCACTCATCAGCAACTCGGATAAAGAAACTGTGGGTCGGCGTTTCGAGCTCTTTACGTAAAGCTGCAAATGAAATCATTGGTTTTCATAAACGGCAAAATAACAGCTGGTACGATGAGGAGTGTCGTGTCACAGCGGGGGAAAAAGAGACTGCTTACCTCGCAGTCAACCACAACACGTGCTATGAATGATAGATGCTGCGAACTGAAAAGGGAAATGAGACACATTTGCAGGCAGGAAAAGAAAGATGCCGAAATACGTGAGTATGAAGAGATTGACAAGCTGACAGTCAGGGGTAATACACGAAAATTATACCAAAAAATGCGGCAAGTAACAGAAGGTTTCAAGGCCGGAGCATACTCTTTCATAACCCCCCGAAGTGACCTAGTGACTGATGCTCAGAACACACTAAAATTATGAATATTCTCCACCCTGCTGAATTCCAGTGAATGCATAGCATCACGTGATGGTGAATCCGAATCTCCAATTGGTGATGATTGAGTAGACAATTCATTGCCCGCCCATGAATATATTTGAATAGCAATTACCAGTTTGAAGAACAACAAAGCGGCGAGCGCCGATGGATTGCCGGCCGAGCTGTTCAAACACGGTGGCGAAGTACTCATAAGGAGCATGCAACAGCTTCCTTGTTGAATATGGTCGGACAAAAGCATGCCCGACGATTAGAATTTAAGTGTGCTCTGCCCAATCCACAAAAAGGGAGACCCCACAATCTGTGCCAACTATCGTGGGATAAGCCTCCTCAAAATCGCATGTAAGGTTCTACCGAGCATATTTTGTGAAAGATTAACCCATTTCCGGCCGCACATAGATCCGTTGCTTTGATTCATTCAAACTTTATATTCTGCTTAGATGGAAAAAAACTTAACGCTTTTCATTTTTTGAAAATTCTCAGCGGAAAACGATACTTACTAAAGTGAAACAGTATGTTTTAGAGTTTATCATTCAAAACATTTATTTTGTTCAATTTTTCAATTTCACATTAATTTTTTTTTACGTCATAAGTAAGTTTTGAAAAACTTTTCTTGAAAGTTCAATATCTTATCTTTAAATTTCATGGAATTGATTGAAGCACAAAACACGTAGAGGTATATCGCATTTTGTGCATTTATATGATGAATGTTTGTGACAATTTTGACAACGACGAGGTTTCTCTAATGCCATGCCAAACTTTGTCTTTGGGTTTTCGAACAGCCGCTGACTGCGGAGTCAACATCTCCGAAGACGACGACAAGCAAAGATTCTGCAACGTAAATACGGGACTGTAATTGATCCAATAGTTCTATTTTTTGTGCAATACAATTGCTGGTGGTGCGTGACATTCCTTTTTCATATTTGATGAGAGCACAATGAACTTTTCAAGCGTTCACCATTGCAACATCAAATCCATTGGCCAATACCACTTCTTTCTAGAACGCGAATTTGATAATTTTTCATGGCATTATCGAAGAGATCAGCACCACTCATTCGATTATTGTCAGTTGTTACGATGTGTGGGATATCATCATAATATTTTTTGCCGCCTTTCCATCGCTTCACACGATGCAGTGGTTCAATTGCCTCATGATTCGATGCAATAGTCACAACAGAATTGTCGTTCCATCGGGCTATCAGCACATTATTGTTTCGATCAAATGTGTAGTCTAACCAGCGTTCTTTCTTCTTAGATGATGAGAAATTTTCTTTTACTAATTAAATTTTTATCCCATTATATACCCATTGTTTCACATTGATTAAAAAAAAGTCGGAAAGAATGGGTCTTCCGAAAATCCGATGCAATTAAAAAAAAATATTAATTAGTAAAAGAAATTTTTTGTCAAGATCAGAAAGATGCAAGATGACATACGATTATTGCCTTCAAGATATATCTCGATAATTTTCGACTCGGCGACTTTTCAAAATTGCTGGTCGAAAAATAGACCATTGGCTAACAGTTTGGCTTTAGCTCTGACTGACCAGATACTCACCAAGTCCTAAAACTTGGAAAAAGAAAATCCGTGAAAAGAGGATCGACACACACCTCATCGTCGCCTATTTCAAATCGAAGCAAATTAGTCTGGTGAACGAGGGCAAGACGAAATATCTCCTCTCATCAAACAAACAGTCGTACTCGCGACTAGGCTCTCACGTCACTGTTGAATGTCATAACTGCGAAGTCGTAGATAATTTAGTCCATCTTGAAAGAAGAATTAACGACGACATTGACATAATTCAGCGAATTAAGAGACGGCGGCTACACTTGCTAGGTCATGTCATCCGAACCGACGAAAACCTTCCAGCTMCAAAAGTATTCGACGCAGTACCCGCCGGGGGAAGCAGAGGAAGAGGCTGACCACATTGCGAAAGAAAGAAACAACTGGCGCGCTGTTGTTAACCACGTAAGCGGTGTCTACGCCAGTAAAAAACAAGACTATTTTCCACTTCAAATAGCACATGCAAAGTGTTTAAATCTTTTTGCATAAAATGCTCTTTGGATGTACATAAATATTAATTGTATTTGTCTTATTGCTATTATTTTATTTAATCTAAGTCGAATATACACTCAAAAATTTAAATTCTAATATTAATAAGGTATGCGATTTAGAAACTGTCATTTACATGATAATTAATATTTGTGTCGTACATTGGCATAATCTTATTGTATTCTTAATCTACTCTCCATACTTTAGTTATTTCTAAGGTAGGCGGCTATTATATTCAGTAGTCGCTTGCATCGTACCAATCAATGACGATTGGGACGAAACAGCTGTTGACAATTGTAGTACATTTGTGTCCCTTATAGAATTTCGTCCTTCCTGAGATAAAGTAAGGTCAAAATGTTCATCATCAGAAACATCTGTACTAGAGACGTCACCTATGGTACGAAGTGCTTGTTGAGTCTGGAAAAAAATATATATTTAAGCACTATGATTAAAGATGTATGTCAATTTAACTCATATTAACTATACGTCCTTTTATTAAAACTTATTTTAAAATTAAAAGAAATGAGATCGGAATATAACTGTTGCAGTGTTACATCATTGCAAGTGGGAATTAATTTGATAAGACTTTCATAACATCCTCTGAAATTTCTTCCCATACTTTTATCAAAATTCTTTTAGTTATATTTTATTTTTAGTCTTATATTGAGCAACCTTAAATCTCAATGGGAATCAACTCAACAAGGAGTATCTGACCCCCCTCACAGTACAACACTGCCAGACCAAACTTATCACACACATCACCTCTTCATCACACCCCACATCTTCATACACACTTACCTTCCACATCACGCGCCCACCAATACCACCACACCACTACTATAACCCACATGAGGACACCATGCTATGAAAAATTAACAAAATGGACCTACGGACGGAACACAGTCCTGCTTTGTTCTCGATAAGTGAGTTAAGGAAGATAATATTCCTTATCATACTCACGAATCCAAATATATCAACAAATCCTTATGGATTTTATAAAACAATTCACCAACACCCTAGATACTACAGTGCACTTGGCCTAGTACGCACAAAAATAACAGGAGCAGCAGATATTCTTACAAACCACCACACGAAGATGAATTTTTATTCCATAATAAATAGATGGGATTACACGTTTGCGGACGAGAGGTCATTTTAGAGAAAAAGGAAAAAAGATCGTACAAAAAAGGAAAATTTAGCTAAAGTCCACAGTGAAGTGAGCAAAGCGCTTAATTTGGCAATATAAAAAATTGAGATGTCCGAAACTCAAAAGACTATGCGAATCAGGATGCAGTAAGGAACTTCATCATAGGGTTAAATAACAAATAAAGAAATGGGACATTGTATAGTCATAACCGTAAAGCTTTGGAAACAGCTAGTACTATTTGACACGACAATGTGAATCGCCAATTCGAGGTACATTCTAACCTCCCAAGGGGGAATGAGCAACAAAGATTCCAGCAACCTGATGATAAAAGGAAATATAATAATCGCTTCAACGAAGCTCAATTTCATTCACATAGAAAGGACAGACAACATCATCAAAACATACAAAACGTTATCAGCCTAGAAATTATAATCAACCGCAACAACAACTTGCCCCAGAACCAATGGAAGTGGACAATTCGCAGCTGTACCAGAGACAAACACATTACTTCAACCAACAAAGGAGTCCGCCTCACCAACCAAACCATTGAAAAGGGATAGGATCGTCTCGTCGCAAAACTTCAATCAACCAAAAATGCAACGCATCCATCAAATCGCACAAGCAGACTACGATGGACATATTGAGACACGGAGTACTCTTTTAGGCGAGTAAACGGGTTGCCTTGTATCAAAACAAAACGTGGATTAACCGGCACTCCCGTTACAATTTTAGAGGACATAAGATCAACTAATGATTATTTAGCAACAAATGTGAAATCGATAAGTCAATACAAAATATTCCTTTTAAAACAAAAATTTTACATGGTTTTTCAGTCATTAATTAAAAAAAAAAGTAATTAGGAGATCATATCCATGATTTAGTATGCTATGAAATAGAAAAGCTAAATGAACTCGGTATGATATTAGGAGAACAGGGGCTTAGAACTCTTAAAGCAGAAGTGATTTATTTTACTACAGTTTAAAGTACCAGAAGGAAGTGATCGATAACGTAGAGCAAAAAATTTACTTTTCTATCAATAAGTCTCAACACGAAGAAAACTAATGCTAAAAAGCGTTGAAATAACTCTTCCTTTAACTACAACTATTCAGGCGACAATTAGGACCCAGACAGAGGATCCAATATGGACAAAACAATATCCATATCACATTGCGGATAACGACTTTGTGAATCAAGAAATTAGCGAGTTATTAAAAAATGGAATTATTAAACCAAGTAAAATGCCATATAATTTACCCACATGGACTTTTCCAAAAAAAAGCCATTGGCGAACAAGGTAAGCCAAAAAGGAAAATGGTAGTTGATTTCCAAAAAATTAATGCTCAGACAATTAAACATAGATATCCAATACTGATGTAAATACATATGACTATCCAAAATTTATGAAGAGCAAAGTATTTTAAACTATAGATTTAGAATCACGATTCCCATTTCCAAAAACTCTTAAAGAACTAAGGTCATTTTTAGAATTAGCTAGTTATTATAGAAATTTTATTAGGAATTTTGCGTCTGTCACTAAACCCTTAACTATTCGTATAAGAGGAGATCAAGAAATGATAAGAAAATATCAGAACGCCAAAGTATACATATTATTAGACGAGGCAGCACTGGATGCACTTCAAAAAATAAAAATAGCACTTCGGGAACAAACAGAACTCTTTCAACCACATTTCTCGAAACCTTTTGATTTAACTACTGATGTAAATAACTTTGCTAATTGGGTAGTCCAACCCAAAATAAACAACCAATTTCCTTATTTCAAGAACATTAAATGATACTGAACGGAATTATAGCACAAATGAAAAAGAACTATTAGCCATTGTTTGGTCACTTAAAAAGTTACACACAGATCATCAGTCCCTTATATATTTAATATCAGACTAGAATCGGAATAGTGGAAAAATTTAATTGACTAATATGGAGCAAAACTTGTCTATAAATCAGGACACCAAAATGTTGTAGCAGACGCTTAACCGAGACAAAAAATAAATGCGACTACTGATTGTTCTTAACATTCGGCAGAAAGTTCACTTGTAGAACAACCATTGAATTCATTTAAAACTTTAATTGTACCTATTTATGATGCATCAAATGCAGGCATATCAATGAAAACAATTTTTCCAAAGAATATTTGTAATATCACTAAGTCTATTGATAGATGTTATAAACATAGACGAACAATTAGAACTAGTAGTATAGACGATCCATTCAACTACAGCATGCAAGAAGTCCGTCCATAGGAACGTGTGTATTTTAATATTTGACATATGTCGTTTGCAGTCTGTCGCGAGCATTGTATTCCACACATAAGTTTTAGCCATAGAAACGTGTCAACTGATTGTTCTCTCACAACGCAGGGTTGACAATCTCGATATACTGTAGTAATTATAAAAGTTGTCTTCAATATATATGCAATTTTCTTAAAATAACTAAAAATCAGAGTGGAATGCTATTATTTATAAATGTATAAACTTTGTTTTAATACTTTAGATCTTATAAACGTCTTTTGAAGCACCGCGATCGTATTTTTTCAGCATTTCTTTACATCAATCCACACGAGCATTTTTTTGAGCGATTGTCAAATTGTGCGCGATCCAACGAGAACAAACCTTTTTTACGGCCAGGTGTTCTTGCAATATCGAATATATTCTGGTCGGAGAAATGCATAGGCATGCCTCTATCTGAAGGTATGTTACATGATGGTCTTGTGTTATCAGTTCACGTACGGTATCGATGATTTCTGGCACAACGGCTGTTTTTGAACGACAGAATTCGTCTTTGAGAGAGCGTCGGCCACGATCGAATTCGTTGTACTTGTACCAGTTTTTCACAGTGCTATAAGATGGTGCTTCATAGCCATATAAAGATCTCAGTTCATCGATGCACTCTTGTCGTGATAATCCACGTCGAAAGTTGTGAAAAATGATCGCACGACAATGTTCACGAGTTAATTCCATTTTTTGGCCGAGATGAATTTTTTAATTCCCTGTAAATAAAACAATTCACGATTAAATGACAAAACGTTCTGAGTGATGTTATGCTAAAAAAATTTCAAACTTTCCAATGGAAATGGCAGATTGCACCTGGCAACACTTAGGGGTGCCTAGGCCAGAAATATATATAGCAGCCTCCATTAGGCTCAATTATAAAATTCGTCACAGGGATACCAGACCATGTCGATTTGATAGAAATAAAAACAGGCTTAAATTACTTAATCGAAAACAATTAGAAATATAATTAATTTTGCTAGATATGGAAATAAATATATTACAATATTCGGATATCCACGTTTGTATGTACAGGAATGCGATAATCACAAGATATAAATACCCTTTCATTAATAATAAATGTAAATTATACAATTTATTCCGTTAGTCTACAAACACGGAAAATTACAAATTGAAAGAAAAATAGCAAAATGTGAAAATAAATTTATAAGAGTATCTAAATGTTAAAATAATGTTGGAATAAATATTTGTAAATAAGAATAGAAATAAGCAAGTTAATTGTACCATCCCTTAACTAAATAAGGACAAAGCATATTGTAATATTGCTCAAGAAAGCAATGTGCCATTATTAATATTAGATGACAGAAATATTATAATTGACGGAAATTAATTCAGTTTAATATTAGCACTTTTTATAGATAATAAGACATATTTTAACCATGACCAAGAACTAAAAAATATAATGTATTACATGGTCATCAAAATGAAAAAACCCGAAATTACGAAAATATTAGAATCCAAATCGTGGCTAAATGAGTTAAGTTTCCCGCCCTCACGCGCCACTACACCCCACAACACACCACTCGCAAGCAACACTGACGCATACACCACACCTAAAGACCGCAATTTTCCCACAAACCACACATCCATTGGAAGCACCAGAAAATACCACATACACCAATACAAGCGGCTACGAATCCACCACCTCCCAACGAGCAAAAACCCTCATCCTGGAAGAGGCGCGGTCTCTTTCGACAACGAATCTGGCGATCTTCGACGCACAGCAATTCAAGCAACATAAAACATAATTGTAGAGTATCTTCTTTTTTATATTTTCATAAACATATTTATAACACTTCCACTGAGATTCGACCAACGATATTTTCATTATAACGTTTATTGTCGGCCTTAAATAAAATTGTCATCTCTTTTTAATTTTGAAGGATTTACAACATTATTAATTCGTATTGAAGCCGTTCTCAATTCACGGCCATTGACGACACTTTCGCAAGATCCCTCAGATCTAACAGCTCTTACACCAGGGCACTTTCTCAAAGGAGCACCCATTCTGGCCACACCTGAGCCAGGCGTGGAGTCGCTTTCCTTGCTAAATAGATGGGAAAGAATTAAAATTCTCCATTATGATTTCAGCCGCCGATAGCAGGAGGAGTATATGAAAGACCTTTACAAAAAGTAGCGCTGGAAAACTCCCGAAAAGACGCCAAGGCTTGGAGATTTTGTTCTAATACATGACGACTGTCTCCCCCCTACGGTCATATCCGAGTAGTTGACCGCCGTACTCAAAACGGAACTCTAACGAGACCGCTCGTTAAACTATGTTTCTTACCAACCGCAGATAATAACGAAAATGCACATAATAAACGATCCGTACAATAACACCGACACGCAAAAATTTAAACATCCATCTAATAAACAAAACCGAAATAAACCGCAAATATGATAAATGATGAATAATGAGTAGATTTTACGACTTCGACAAGCCAAATAAATTTGGTTACGAACAGACAAATTTTTCATAATTTATACTATTGAGTTGCAACTAAAATTATAAATTTTCTAAAATACAAGAAATGTTCAATTACCCAATTCCTTTTGAGGAACGCGGTTTACAATTTTTAAGTTATGCTATTCCTTTAGTAATAATATTAAGATTACAGAGGCCAACACTCAATTTGCTTCTTCGAATTTATCAACTGATTCTAGTTAATTTGGATGCGCTGAATTCAAATCTGTAATCAGTTTGTCTCTATCAGCTTTAGTTTTCATGATATTTTATTTTTTGATTTTATTTTTTTCAGGTTATAAGTTAAGTGGCATAAAATGTCGAATTCGTCACCGAGTTAAAGGGAGACTACCGAGAGTTTTAATATATATTTACATGGTCCTTCGAGCCGCAAAGGACGGCACTAGTGGTAACAAATTATTCACGATGACGCGGTGATGCGGTAACAAATCAACAAATTAAGCACGGTGATGCTCTAACAAAATAAACAAATTATAAAAAAAAAACAAGAAACCGACAGTGAATAATTTTGAAAAAAAAAAAAACGGTGGCGACAATGTTTGGAAAAAAGTCGTTGCACAATGGTCGATTTCATAGGATATATTCGTACGCGCTACCAAAAGAGAGAGAAGTTAGACTATAGAAACACGCAGACTGTGCAGTTAAAATAGCTGAAAAATTATCATTTGTAATAAATTAATTTTCAATATAAAATCGTGTTTAATCGTCGTAAATCAAAATGAATATTGGGAAGAAATGTATATGTTATATAACATAACATATTTTTCCGTAATAATTAGGGCACTCACAAAGTGTCATAAAGCATCGTGGTTAAATGAGTATAAGCCTTCCCACTTTTGTACATCAACACCATCCCAAACATCTATGTAAATATACAACCTTGGTACGCCACATTTCCCACACTCACAATATCATCATTTGTTACACACTTTTTACACCACGTTCTAACATCCACACAATGACATCATACACTCATCGCCCCAGAGAGCCGCACACACCAATACCTATAGAATAACAAAAAGACAGACAACATGATCGGAAACTACTCTGGCTACGACATCGGCGCGATCCGSACACGATTCATTTGGTAATTTTTTTTACTTCTTGCGAGCCTCTTGTGTTAAATTAATAAATGTTATACCTTTTTTGTGACGAATAAATTCGAAAGTTGATAGAAACTTGAATTGAAGTGCAAACGAATTGTAAGTGCGGAAAAGGTGATACATAAATCAATACACGGGTATGTTCGATTTGAGCAATAAATACCGAAATATTGCAACCCTGTTACTTACTTGATACTCTGTTGCTAATACTCAGCTGATTGTCTGCAGCAATATTGCGACCATAATTGCACAGAACGTTATGCTTTAAAAAGTCATAGTTAAAATGGAAAGTTTAACGTATTTAATAACTGGTGAGATTTTGCAAAAGCAACGTGACAATTTTTTAAAAAATATAAACAAAAGAAGAAGGATTATGATACGGAGAAGAGAGCTTTTGTTAAAGGAAAGCTGTAAAAGAAGAAATGTGACAAAAGTACGCAATTTTTTAAAATTGTAGAGTCATATCCAGATGATATTTTTCTCTCTTATTTTCGGATGGCTCGCGAGTTATTTTAGAATAAAAAAAGCGTCGGCCTTCTTTTTCACAACCGCATTTATTAAAGTTAATCTTAAGACTGACCTGATTGACATTCCTTGTTAGCTTTCTTACTCCTAAGCATAGGGCTAGCTGTACTAGTATTATTTGTTAGTGCGCTTAATTCTAACATTAAGATTAACTGTATGGACATTCTTTGTATGTATGTTTATAGTTGAGTTGGCGTTCACATAACAGGGATACGCTCACTCTCAACTCAACTTAGCTGAATTTGGAACCTATATGTTATTACGATATTAAGCATTTACTATATGCATATAAGTATATAATTACTACGTGTTTAGAGTATGGGAATGTAACTCCTCCACCCTTGGATTCGAGATTCTCCTGAATTTCGTTACAATAATATATAATAATTTTATTAAATTCTAATTAATTCAGTG